CCGATGGTACAAAATACCCAGGCAGGTGCTTAGTTTTGGTGGGGCTGATGGTAAGGCCCCACCTCTTAGTGGCACGCTCCAGTCTCAGCAGCAGCGTCTCCAACTCCTCCTCTGAGTGAGCAGCTATTACCAAATCATCGGCATACATAACGTGGTTGACCAATAGGGAGCCATCCCTTGATCGCACCCGGGCGTCGATCAGCCTCCCATTATATCTGTACCAAATGGAAATTCCCCCGGTACAGCTATTGAAGGCTTCACGAACTACGCGGTCAAAATAGATGTTAAATAATGTGGGAGCCAGAGGACATCCCTGTCGCACCCCAAGGTGTACAGGGAAAGGCTCCGACTCCCGGCCACGTAGTTTTACCCGGGCCCGCTCACCATCATGAAGGTCCTTAATGATCGTGAGCAGAGGGTCAGGGACTCCGAAAGCACGAAGAACAACCCAGAGCCCAGGCCTACTGATGGTATCATAGGCCTTGACCAGGTCAATAAAGCAGAGATGTAGGTCTTTTTGGAATTCCCTACACCTCTGCTGTAGCAGACGGACAGAAAATATGGCATCTGTGCAGGACCGCCCTTTCCTGAAACCGCATTGGGGCTCCGCAAGCCTCTCCTCAGCGTGCCTAGCAAGGCGATGTTGAATAATCCTTGCCAGGACCTTACCCGGCACACTGAGGAGTGAGATGCCCCTGTAGTTGTTACAGTCGGTACGGTCCCCCTTCTTAAAGAGGGGAACCACCAGGGCATCCTTCCAGTCCTGCGGAACCCGTCCAGTGGTCCAGACTGTTGTTATGATGTCATATAGGGCAGTCTGTGCACAAACGCCACCCTCCCTCAGCATTTCGCTTGGGAGATCATCTCTGCCCGATGCCTTCCCTGGTCTCAGACTCCGGATCGCCCTCAGTACTTCCTCAACAGCTGGCACCTCAGCCAGCCACTCACAGGGGGTGACCTCTTCCAATATTTGAGGCACCGCAGCCTCAGCAGGGTTATCACCACTTTGTGCCATGATGTTTTCCTGGCTGAGAGAATTTCCCTCCCCCAGGACCTCACAGAAATGCTCAGCAAATCTGCAAACCTGTTCCTGTGGGTCGGAGATTGGATCACCGTTTTTTCCTCTAATGATGGTAATAGGTGTGGCGCTGCAGGTTACTTTTTTGATGGAGTTAAATAGTGATTTGTGATCACGGGCCACTGAGGCAGACTCCATCTCCTCAGCAACTCGCGACCACCACCCATCCTTACAGCGCCTTACGGCTCTCCGAACTTCTGAGCGAAGGCTGCGGTAAACCTCCTCATTCTCTGACGTGGGATGCTGTAGGCGATGAGAGTGGGCCTGACGCTTTTTCTCAATTAACCTGAACACCTCCTCTGTCAGCCAGGGTTTCTGGGGAGGTCTGGACCGCGTACCCAAAGCAGCCATTGCAGCTGCATGAGTCACAGTCTTAAACCTCGCCCATTTCCCCTCGACATCAGGTGGAGTGGGGGACGATGCCAACCCCAGCTGCAAGCGATGATGAAATTCTCGCTTGCAACTTTCATCAGCTAACTGAGACCAGGCCACTTTTGGTTGGAATGGGATCCTGGGTGTACACCCACCACCGGAGTGGAAGAAAGGCAGGCGCATCTTACAGATGACTAGTCGATGGTCAGAGGAGAGATCAGCTCCACGGTAGGTCCTGGTGTCAAGGACATGGGTTCGCATCCGCTGGTCCGTCACTATGTAGTCCAGCAGATGTTCTTGCTTGGACCCGGCATGTATCCATGATGTTGTGTGGATGCGCCGATGCCGGAAGAGCGTGTTGGTAATTACAAGCCCATGGGCTGCACAAAAATCTAGCAGCCTCCTACCGTTATTATTGAGCTGATCTGGCCCATGCCTTCCAATCACTCCAGACCAGGTGTCAGCATCATGACCAACTCGGGCATTGAAGTCACCCAACAAGATGACTCTGTCCCGAGTGGCCACTTTAGCCAGCACCTGTGACAGGAGGTCATAGAAAGCGTCTGACTCATCGGCTTTGCTTGCATCCCTCCACGGATGTTCGTCTTCGGTGGGGGCATAAGTAACCACGACCACCACTCCTCGCCTCTGGTTGATGGGAAGGCGAGCCCAAAGTAGCCTGGGGCTTACAGCTTCCCACACCTCACCGCCACGCTCCCACGCCCCCTTCATTCTTTTGTTCAGAAGAAGAGCCACACCCTGTTGTTTGGCAGTCTCCTGCCCCGAGTAGAGGACTGTCCACCCCTCATGGTGGCAGGAGCCAGAACCGGTCCACCGGACCTCCTGAATGCCACAGAGATCCAGGCGGTACCGGTCCAGCTCCCGACAGAGGAGTGGCAGCCTCTCCTCCGCAGTGAGCGTTCGAACATTCCACGTGGCCATCCGCAATGGTTTTTTGTTGTTTCTGGAGGAGCCCCGAGGGTGAAAATTCAATCTCCTGGCTCCGCCAAATGGGGTTTGGCCAGGAGACGTCATAAAAGCCTGACCCCCCGGGGCCTCCGGCACAAGCTTATTTGTTACAGGTTTATGTTTAATTCGTGGTTTAGTGGTAATGAATTGAAGGTGGAGGGGTTACCAGCCCCTCACACCCGTCCAGAGCCCCCGTTTAGCCACTGTGGTGGTCACAGACGCCATGAGGGGAGAGGCCAATGGGCATTGGCCCTCCCCCCACAGCACTGCCCACGACAGTGTTGCCCGTCCGGCACCGCGAGGAGGTAGGAGGTTGTTTTGCCGGACAACACACGGGCAACGGAAATACACATACACACACACATACACACACATACATACACATACACACACAGCTCATACACAGTGCACACACACAGCACACACACATACACACACAGTACACATACACAGCACACACACACAGCACACACATACACACAGCACATACACACAGCACACATACACAGTACACATACACATAGCACACACACACAGCACACACAGCACACACATACACAGTACACACAGCACACACACATACACACCCACAGACTACACACACACAGCACACACACATACACACATACACACACACAGCACACACACAGACTACACAGCACACACACACAGACCACACAAAGCACTTGATACAGTCTATACAGCACAGCACACGCAGCACTTGACACAGACTACACAGCACATACACAGAATACACACAGCACACACAGACTACACAGTACACAGCTACAGTATACAGCACACACGTACATCACACACCAACGCAATATACATCACGAGTCTACAGTACACACCTATAGCACATAGTACACACACACATGTTCTAGAACAGTGATTCTTAACCTTTACTGCACCCTTGCACTCCTTTGGTTCTCAATCGTAAAAAACACATGTGAATAAATAGATAAAGGTTTGATGATACAAAGTAGTTGTATTTCCGTTGCCCGTGCTTAATTTGTGTTTCAATGATTTACCTTCGAAACAACAAATCTGGCCACGTCTCGCACCCCCAGGGGGTGCAACGTGCACCACAGGTGAAGAAGAAGAAGCACTACTGCTTTAGAATAATCTAGATTGATAAAATCACACAATGACGTAGTTCCCAAGTCATGTGCCTTTTTTTTAACAACACACAGCAACACCCCGACAGCACACAGTATACACCTGCAACTCTTGTCAATAAAGTCAGTAAACCCTATAAGCCGCCTTAAAGTTTCACCCCTAAGCGAGTTCATGGTTCATTAGAGGCTATTTGTTTTAGGATTTTAGTGCTGCGTAATAATGTTAAGCGGTAGTTATCAGAGAGTAACGTGAAGCAAAATCCATCATTGTACTGTGCGTCTAAGCTCCTTGTCATCACCAAGCCACACTGATCAGCGTGGTGAAGTATGGTCGGTTAATCCCATAGTTGTCAACCCCTTATCAGTGCCTACCTTATTACAGACCAATTCAGACCTTTTTGGTCACCCAGTGCCCTTATAAATCACAACGTACATCCTACAAAGCCCCATCACAAGGGAGAAACACAAATAGACGAACATTTTTTTTTGCCCGTATTGAAACGGCTGTACGCCGTATGGACCTGAAAACTGAATTTCCCTGTACAAGAACACGGGTAAACCGTATGGGTTGACAGCTACGTCGTCCCCAACCCATCGCATGCCATGGGTAGGGCTTCATATCAAGCAGTGGATTTTACAGGGTAGTCCAGATATCTTGTGACTCACATTTCATGATTTGAAACGTTATATTTTTGAACAAAGGTTTACTTAAAACAGAAATTGATAAATTAAATCATGACGATTGGTTTCTACGTGATACCATAGTTGTTGATTGAATTCAGTGCCTAAGTGAAAATCTGGATTTTTGAAGCTTCAATTAAACTATTAAACACGTAGGCTGTCGCAACCAATATTATTCATGATAAAAAAAATTGGGTTCATTAACCTAGCTTTACCTGACCAGCTGAAAGCTCATTGATTATATTCCATAACGGTAGAGAATTCTGAGCCCATCTGTTAAGTTTACAATTTCCCAGGTGAGTAAATATTTGTGATTTGGAGGAAGTTACGATACTTGTACAGTACACAATTACACTCTTACGAATAATAATGATTACATCATTACACACATGATCTTCAGCAAAGGTCCATTATTATATAGCAGGCAGAATGCTTGCTCATCTCCGTTATAGTCCTAAGCCAAGTCTATCCCCCAAGATTATACTCATTTTATCGACGGCAGATGGGCTGAGTAAACGCCTGACTCGGATTTAAACTCAGATTTACAGCTAATGCTCTAATACTGCAAAGTTAAATAAAAGTTATAATAGCAAGCACAAAATACTCTACTGGACTGTGCCATGGTTCGAACCGTGGTTTTGTTGCTTAACAGAAACATCCGAACATTATAGGGGCCGGTCTAGATGAGATGTGACACGTGATCAGGTATGCCCCCCCCCGCCCCATTTTCAGCCGCACAGGTAACAACCGTCTCCAGGAAAAACATAGCGGCTCTGCCAGCAGCTACCACACACACACACCACGCTCACCTGGCTTACAGCACACCCAGCTCAACAGCATACAACACACCCAGTGTACAGGTAAGCACACCTGGCTTACAGCACACCTGATTTTCGAAGTACACCTGGTCACAGCACACGTGGATTAAAGCACGTAAACCTATATACACCTAGTATATCGTACAGGTAGGCACACCTCTTGTTACAAGTACACCTGGCTAAACTACATGAGGAACACACAGTGTCCAGGTGATCACATTTGGTTCATAGCACACCTGGCTGACCACACATCTAGTTATCACAGTAGACATGGATCACAACACACCTGACTTAAAATACGGCTGACTCAATTACTTATAACTCAGCCAGTGTACAGGAATACACACGTGATGTTACAGTACATCTGGCTCATACAATCTTGGCCTAACTATGTAAGGCACAGTCAATGTACTAGTGGTCACATCTGGCTTACTCAATGTACTAGTGGTCATATCTGGCTTACAGTACACCTGGGTAAATTGCATATACTACAACCAGTGTATAGGTATGTTTACCTGTCTTAAAAACATGGCGCTCAACCTAGTGTACATCTAAACACACCTATACGAGCATAGAAATTCTGGCTAAATTACTGGACATCCCATAATGAATTGCACACGGCAAACCTAGCGCATTGGTGGACATGTTAATTGGCTGCAGATCATACATTCAATTGCAAATGAGTTGACCAGGAGATGGCAGTACAGACAATGAATTAATGATCCCATCTGTGTGGACCTTTGACAGTTGTCTTCGTTTGCATGTATTTTCTTCAGCCGCTCAACTTTCCTTACACATGGAAAACACTAAACACTCAAACAATCCAATGTGGACGATGCTCCTGAATAACAGTTTTCAGTCACAGGCTTTCCTTGATAAATACATGGCATTATTATGTAAACGATTATTACTGTATTAAAACGTTACTCACTTACATGTTAAACACCTGTCGCAAAGGTATATACACCTGGTTGGTGGCACACCTGTGGAAAGCTGGCATCACTCTGACCTGGGAAGCACGCTGAAGCTGAGGGGAGACATGGAGGTGGGAAGCTCGATGCTGGACGACATGGCGAGGCTGCAGCTCCGATTCCTCGAGAAGGTGAGGGAGGGAAACGCGAGGTAAGGTGAGGGAGACCCTCACCTTACCTCGCGTTTCCCAATGTCAAGTAGGTGCCATACCAACAATAATACAGATCAATATCAGGAGTCTAATGTGATAGCAGGGCTGCCCATCAATAAATCAATCCAAGATTTGTAACACGTAAATATTTAAAAAAAATCTGAGATGGAAACGCGGGTGGCACAGATACATTTTTGACTAAACAACAGGAGATAAAATAAATGTTTTTAGTCCGGTCTTAAGAGCACCGTTTGTCACAGCTGCCGAAAGGTTTTTGGAGACCCGGGGGTAATGCCAGATGAGGCCCGATCCTCGGCCTTTCCGGCCATTTTTGAAGTCCCCTTGGACCTGAGGCCCGAAACAAAATGCCCCACCAGCCCTCCTCTCTATGGCCCTGACTGAGCCTCCATGACACACACACACACATGTATGGCTAGGTCATTGGGAATGATATTGAAACTGGCAGGATATGTAGCCAATGTGGGTCTATGTTGCGTAACCAAGTGGGCCCTTGCGGGATTTTTCAAAGATACAAGCATGTGGCTTCCACTTACTGTCGAAAAGCATAGGGGCAGCGGATACTCTACTAGGGTTGCTACCTCTCCTGGTTTGACCGGGCGGTCCGTCCATAGGTACTGGTGTAGAGAAATACACAATGTACAGACATTAGCAACAAGAGGCTGGCATCGATAATGAAAATGACTGCGTACACACTCTATATAATTACCCATTGATTCATCCTTTACATTGAACACACTGTTGCAAAACAGGATCATGTGCAAGAGTAAAGTCATCGTGTACTAGTACCATAGTCCATAGTTAGTAAACATGCAGCCCTGAGTCAATATACTGCTAGATGCAGGCCTCCCCATGCCGTGCACGGCGTGATGGTTATTTGACCATACTTCACTGGTTATTGGGGGTTGGTGAAGGGCAGGGTGGACCTGGTAGAGTTAAGATGTCACTCACCGCTGATGTTAGCCATGGCTAGGGATCGAACTCGAACAAGGTTCGTCATGCGGTGCGCTAACAAATGCATCACGGCTCCTACAGCGAGAATGTGGATGAGTCACCTGCCACATCCCAGATCGAACCAATGGTCTCAGCAGTGCATCGGTAAGATACTAATATGAGCTACTCCAGCTGAGATAGGGAGGAGGGAAAAATGTTTGACATAACTTGTCATTAGTTCAATGAGGTCCTGAGGGAGTGCGCCATGCCATATCGACCAGTGCAACCATCGTCGCATGGTTGACCTTTGGTTCGCACATTCTCAGTCCTACGAATCCTGGCGGCTAATGGCTCACGATCAAAGCAAACATCTAATTCGAGCTATGATCAATGGTTTGCTCTCAGCTCCGTCCATTGATGTCGTCGCGCGTGACCACGGTAACTGTGATCACAGGAAATCCATGGCCTTGTGGGTGCACACTTAGGGCTGCTCAGCCCGAGAGCCTCACCCAATTACGAAACTCCTCTGTCTGCCTAACTCGACCTGAATGAACAGATCTGAACACCCCCCCCCCCCACCGGTCAACTGAAACTGACGTGAAATCGAATTTCTGAAAAGGAAAAAAACATGGTCAAGCTTACCCTCCATTTCTCACCATAATGATGGTACAACGGTGATAACGATGATAATGGTGATGATTATGATGAGGAGGAAGGTAAGGAGGTGGAGAAGGTGGATGAGGATAACTCCGGGAGCCAGACTGAGCCCTATTGGTCAGAGCCCAGCTACCCAGCAGTCAGAGACAACTCTTGGCGAGGTACCTTGCAGGATATTCAGTTGTCAAGGCAAGATTGCAGGATTGAATATTGAACCTAAAACTTAGTTCTGGCTTTAAATGACAGTAACCAACAATGCTCAACTTTATTTCAGTCCGTATCCAGACATCAATTTTGAAAGTTAATCACGAAACTGCAACGTCAGTTGTAGCCATGCAAGTCATGCCCCTCCCTTCTCTGACATCATGGAAAATAGTTGAGGGCTGTGCGTGTTGCCATTTGGTCTTGGTCTATACAAACACACAGAACACACGAAGGCTTTCCATGACGGAACCTAAAGAATATGACTACCTTTACGAATATATGATCGATTATGAAAATTTACATTCTGCAATAAAACTTGACCAGCTGGATTCGAACCCGGCCCACGTCCCACATCAGTGGCAAGAGTGATATCTGAACTCCGACTAACACGGTTGGCTATGCACGGTGCGAAAGAAGTTCAACATTTTACATGAACTGGTTCTGCTCCCTGACCCTATCTGTTCCTCTTCACCAATGCACCAGCCCACACTGACCAACGTGCAGTGTGGCCAGGTAGCTTTCACGATCAGCACTGTGTGGGGATACCTTAATCCAGCAGTGTATTACGCGAATAGCTGTAAATTATTGGTGTAAATAACACAACTATTATTGTTCTAAATAACATCATCTTCAATTTTGATTTAAAGCTTTCGTGACTGCAGGGATTAATAGTCTTGGTCCTTTAGGTAAAGTCACGTAGAAGGGAAATAATAAAATAATAAAAATATAAAACAATAATATTATCACGACGTTTCGACTGCAACACAAGCAATCATCATCAGGTGTGAAATCCACAGCAATAATTTTTTTAAAAAGTGGCGGTTTTTTCTATTTCTTGCTGTGGATTTCACACCTGATGATGATTGCTCGTGTTGCAGTCGAAACGTCGTGAGAATTTTATTGTTTTATATTTGTATTATTTTATTATTTCCCTTCTACGTGACTTTACCGAAAGAACCAAGAATATAACATCATCTTCACCAATGGCCTATAAGGCTAAATGGAGGATTTCTTGTATATGTCTGTGTGTAAAGAGGTTGGAGCAAGAAGCACAAGATGAGGACGATGTTCCTGATGATTCAAGTCGACCCGAAAGCCCAGAGCCAGGTACTGACGTCTGTCCTGTGACAATGAACGGAGCCGATGTGTGCAAGAGACATCCCGCACTTCTTATTTGGCATTGGAGTCATTGTCGCTGAACAGAAGCAGAGTTAAGTTCTGTCAGAGAGGAGTGATAGCCCTTGATACAAGTCAGGGCCTATTTTCAGTTGAGTATGTCCGGTCCGGTGACCCTGAAAACATTTCCAACGTTCAGTATACCTCTCGAGATGACTGTGGCTGACTAGTGTAGTGACATAGAATTGGTCACTATGTTGCATAGCGCTGGCTGCTGGCAGGGAAGGAGATCTGCAGCTTGAAGCAGCCTTGACTGACAGCAGCCCACGTGATAGACCCCAGAGGGATCTAGGGGAAAGGTCGAGAGCCCACTAGTAGGTTCCAGAAGGGGGGCGTGGCTGGGGCGGAGCGAGGCCACGCTGGTAGGATAAAAGGGGACTCCGAGCGGGAGCTCGGGGCTGTCGTTTGGAGTGGGATCCTCGTCGTCATCGTTGCTGCTGAAGATCGTCGCCATCGCCGCTGTCGTCTTCACTTGATAATTGCGCTGCTAGACGTAGTTGGCTGTCTTAGTTCAGCGCTGTCAGTGTCAGACGGCTAGCGTTGTGTTGTAGGCTAGCAACCAGTGTAGAGTTGCGGAAAGCGAGAGACAGAGAGTGTGTAACAGTGTAGGGTACTCGGTGTTTAATTAAATAATTGCCTCCAAGATCTTAATGTCTCCAAGTCAGTCACTACACTAGTATCGTGCCTACTCTAAAGTTTACCAGCAGTCTGTAAAATATGCCGTGAAAATCTTGGATATAGCAGTGGAGAGGAAAAGGATTATGTATGTATGTTGAACTTCTTTCGCACCGTACGTAGCCAACCGTGCTAATCGGAGGTGCAGGATGATGATGATGATTTGTGGCAATGATTATTATCGATGAGGACAATGTGGTTTGTGCTGTTGTTGCCCATGACTCGGGCAGGAGCTCCGGTGGCACGAAGGGCACTGCACAGTGCACTACAGCGGCGCTCCGAGCTCCTCCGTGACTTGCGAGTAAGCCCATGTGCATCCCCACTGGCATGCCAGCCAGACTTTACACATGCAACACAACACCACGCAGACGTTACGCATGCAATACAATGCTCCACAGACCTTGAATACGAAACGCATTACTATCCAGACCTTACACTATCACACCACATGTTACAGGCACAACACAATAGCACCCGGACATTTTATACACAATACAATAGCACGCAAACCTTATATACAATTACAGCTGCAACTTCCTTTAAACATCACATCACTCAAAACCTCGCACACAATTCCACAAAACAAGACAGACCATACATACATGCCATCTCACATTCGTCTCTGCTACCCATACAATACAAAATCATGTCACGCAGTAGGCCCCGTGCACAACTAGAATGCTACTCAGATCCAATGCCAATACTACTTTACTACATACACACATAGCACGCAGGGACACTGGGAACAATGCTTAGACTTTAACGAGCTTGTGAATGTAACACAGGTTGTAAGTGTGCTGTCACTCAGGACCAAATGTGAGTATCATGCAAATGGGTTCGACTGGTCAGCGGAAGAGTTGGCATTAATATTTCTGTACTGTAATGCGTTCACCACTCACCGTGCCCCATGTTATCCTGGGGAAGCTATTACTTTTACGTGTATGTATGTACCGTATGTTGAACTTCTTTTGCACCATACGTAGCCAACCGTACTAATCGGAGGCACGGGGGAAGGACAACACACTAAGCATCGGGCAGCCGGGCAGAATATTTATGTAAACTGGTCACACGCTGCTGATGAGGCTCACAAAGTTTAGATTAAACCCGAGTTTGCATGCTTGAGCCAACTCCACTGGAAAGCAATCGATCTGGAAGGCATGTTGGCTGATGGATTCAATGTTATTTTCGTTTTACGTGGAGAAATAGACCATTGTCAATGATTTTACTGTATTAGTTACAATTCACCGCTACATCACGTCGCAACGCATGTTGTGTAATAAAAAAATATGTATTTCATACTCTCTGGTTCTTTCGGTAAAGTCACGTAGGTATAAAATAAATTAAAAATAAATCACGATGTTTCGATTGCAACACAAGCAATCATCATCAGGTGGGAAAACCACAGCAAGAACAATTTTACGGCATCTCTCTCCCACTTCAGCAAAAAAAAAAATCTTGCTGTGGTTTTCCCACCTGATGATGAATGCTTGTGTTGCAATCGAAACGTCGTGATTTATTTTTATTTTATACCTACGTGACTTTACTGAAAGAACCAGAGAATATGGATTCCTGCACTCACGAAAGCTTCAAATCTAGAAATATGTATTTGTAAATGAATCAATCCACTGTTGGATGAAGGTCCTCCCCACGCTGGTGTCGGCCATGGGGGTTGATTGAGCATACTTCACCACACTGGTCAGGGCAGCTTGGTTAAGGGGCTGGGGAGGGGGGACAGAACTGGTTAGGATACCCATCGCTGGTGTTCTAGCCTTGATAAGAAATCGAACTCAAGTCATCACCGGGTTAACGGTGCGCTCATCGCTGTGCCACCCATTTCTCGTAGTATGGTACGGCACTTTGATTTCACCCGTTCTGCTGTTAGTGATTTGAGCAAAAAATTGCAATGAAGCAATCGAATTTATTCAAATCAATTCGTATGCTCAGGATACATGCTTCAAACCGTGATTGTAAAATATTATATGCAATGAAAAAGTCAACAAATTATTAAATAACGCTACCTCAAAACACATTTCGCACAGCGGCCCATCTTATTTACTATAAAGAAGGGTAATTGCCCGAAACGTTGCATATTATATATATTTTTATTTTAAGTGTTTTTGTTGTTATTATTCATTGTGCGTGTGCACAACTGCCAGTGCAGCAGCAGCATCACCGAACAATGTAAGTATAACGGGTTTACGCGGACCTTGCAACCTCTCGCGGCGTTACGTTTAACAACATTTTAAACAGAATCGATCTTTAAATGGAATGGCCACAACACGAATCTGGACAATTCATCGAATGACACGTCCAGTATATTGATCACGTACCCCCGACAGCTGCCCACCCCCGGGGCTGATCGGTAGAGGGCGACTCTTGATCACACATCCAGCCGCGGCAGCAGCGTGGAGTCTACGATACTCGCAGAACCATTATGGCAGCCTCGGTCGATTCATCGTGACGTGCGCACCGGCACCTAATCATCAAAATCAGCAATGATCCATCCACTGCTGGATGAACGCCTTCCCGAGTTGCCACCATCCTTCACGATCCAGCATGGTTGGTCACGTACGGTGCGAAAGAAGTTCAACATACCGTACATATTTCGATTTAAAGCTTTCGTGACTGCAGGGATTCATCTTCTTGGTTCTTTCGGTAAAGTTACGTAGAAGGGAAGTAATAAAAAGATAATAAAATACAATTCTCACGGAGAATTGTATTTTATTATGTTTTATTTTTTTTCCCTTCTACGTGACTTTACCGAAAGAACCAAGAAGATACCGTACAGTACACGAGCCGATTTCATCCTTCCATCTCTACGCAGGACGTTTCCCCCCCCCCCAGTCTAAATGTGGAATTATTAGTTACACAAACACTCGCCGTGTGCGTCGAATGTCAGCTGTCGGATACGTGAATGTCGTGTTTGAATCTCATTCGATATTAGTTTGATATTGGCATCAAATGTGAAATAATTCGACCCGTTGCCGATCCACTGCTGGATGAGTGCCCTACCACGCGGTGTCGATCATGGTGGGGGAGGGTTTGTTGCACCATACTTCACCACGGTGGTCATTGCTGGTTGATCCACAAATACGAAGGAGACGTCACAGCGACGATACAACTCCACTGCTCCTGCCGCGGTTATCTGGCTTGACCGCCTTGAATGTGAAATTGTTGTCGTTGCTCTGCATCTACATCAGCCGTACGAAAGTAGAAGATAAAGGAGAGCAAGAAAGCTCGTTCAGATATCACTCACCACTGATGTTAAGCCATGGCTGGGAATCGAACCTCGGTTTCACACAAAACATTCCTGCGGAGGGAGCTGGTAGGAACGTTGGATTGCTCGGTCAATGGCCAGGGTCAACGGCGGCGTGGTGTATTCTGCAAATATGCCCGACTGTGAGGGCGGGCACAAGCCGGCGTGAGTAGGTTAAACGTTGAGTTGTATAAGGGCACCACAGGGTGACCAGCCCCTCCCCAACCAGCCCCACCCCTCCCACCCCCCACCCAGCCCCACCCTCCCCACCCAGTCCCTCCCTGCACGACGGACACAATAATCCCCTGTGGGCTGCTGTAACCAGGAGGTTCCTACCAGTATAACCACTCACTGCCCCCACGTGTTGCTGTAAAAGAACAGATCCTATATCAGTTACGTTGGTGTCAAGCTTTTGCTATAAAATGTCGCGTCTCTGAGTTGTCACCTGGCTCAACAAAATGACCCTGAAACTCTAATACTGGTGTTTGTTACGCGGTCTTTGATCAAGTTTACATGTGAAATGAAGTTATCGAACATCTAATCAGTTATCTTGATAGTTTCTCGGATTACAAGACTGCATGTACGGTGCTAACATTACCAAAGCAAGTGAAGGATAAATATATTACAGTGCGTGGTATGTTAATCTTGATGCAATAACACAGGTGGTTTTAAAAGTTGGTAACACTATCCGTAATGTGCTAAAACTTAGTATCCGATGTTGGGCGTTTATCGCTGTAGGGTAGAAGGTTAGTAAAGCGATAAAACGTGTGTCTCATAGCAAGAACCACCTCGGTTCGATTCCCGACTCGGATACATTTCTGTGTGGAGTTTGTGTATTCTCCCCCACGTTCTGCATGAGTTTCCTCCTGGTTTCATACCATAGCTAACAAAAAGCACACACACACATACACACAACGTAACTGGCATTGGCCAAGCCACCCCCAATACTGAAACAAATACCAGCAATTCACTCAACTACATGATGTTACACAGCAGCAACATCGCCCACTACTGCGGAAATTCGGCAGGACTCTCCCGAGAATAGGTTTTATGAGGCTTCCTTGAGTAAACAAGTATCATGATATAAATCTTGACTTAAAGCTTTCATGACTGCAGGAATTAATATTCTTTGGGTCTTGTGGCTTTACCGAAAGACCCAAATAATATAATGATATTCTTTGGTTCTTTCGGTAAAGTCACGTATAAAGATAAAATAATAAATTAAATAATAGCATACGACGTTTCGATTGCAACACAAGCAATCATCATCAGGTACAAATGAAATAGCAACAAAAAAATCTAACCAGAACACTATAGACAGACATATGAGCAGACAGATAACCCTCTCTGTACCTGTGTACCTGTGTTACTCTCTCTATGTATCTTGGTGATATCTGTCTACTCATATGTCTGTCTATAGTTTTCTGGTCAGATTTTTTGTTGCTATTTCATTTATACCTGATGATGATTGCTTGTGTTGCAATCGAAACGTCGTATGCTATTATTTAATTTATTATTTTATCTTTTATACGTGACTTTACCGAAAGAACCAAAGAATAATTCCTGCAGTCACGAAAGCTCCAAAACTAAGAATATAATGATATAGTGATTTATACTGCATTTAGCGCAGTGCACTTTCACCGCCACACCGCCTGCAAGGTGTGTTATCACATTTGTGTATTGTCGGGGGCCCGCGCTAAAGGCCACCAGGGGCCACCAGCCAGGGGCCACCAGCCAGGGCCCACCAGGGGCCCTTGCAATAGAGAACACTGCTTTAGCGTCGCACTCCACAGGATGCGAATTACGTAGTCGACTGACTTTGTAAGCTTAGAGTATACAAAAATCAAGCTACGTAATATTATAACTTTTGAATGCGCCTGCCCCATAAGTGAAACCGTTCCCAACTTCCAAAATGCTGGTTTTCAAATAATTTCTGTTTTATAGATGGACTTGTGCCAGATTTCTATACCTTCTCAAATAACGCTCGAATTTCAATCAGTTGACTCACGCTCGTAAATATCAGACAAGAACATGAGTACTTTATG